AAAGGTTCGTGCATTTCCTTTTTATTCTGCACTTTCAACTTTTGGCATATTGCAAGGTAATAATGTTTGGAGCTATAACAAAACTTAGAATCAGTCACAACAGAATTTATAATCGAAAGTGAAAAATTATGTGACTTAAACCCAAAAAAAAAAAAAAAAAAAAACTTTTTAAACTCTACTAAAATAGGTATAGTAGATGGCGTTTATTTGATTACGATTTCTAATAAACTTTTAAGTTGCACTTTATGTATTATTAAATAATAGTTTTCTTTTATTTTATTTTCTTATTTATTTATTTATTAGTTACTTTTTTTTCAAATAAGTAATCCTTTCCTATTTCTTTTTTTTAAGGAGGAAAATTTTATTTAATAATTTAGTCGATACAAACTTTAATATAAGTAAAAATGGCTACCAAAGATAAAAGTATTCAACTAAGAAAAAAAACTAAATCCACCCGTAAAAACAAATGAGATGTAAAGATAAATACGAGTCCTCGAGATCTAATAAGAAAATACTCAATCATTTCCTATTTCTTAATACAAAGACCCGTATGGATTCCAATTCGGGTGTTATCATAAGTTTAACTAACTATATTTATGGGAATTAACAACTAAAATAAAAGTTACATTTATATTCCTGGATACTATATGGTACACAAATTACTTAAAGTAGGTTAGCTTTATACCCCAGATGCAGTGACCATAAAATTATATGTGTTCGATCATTTTTGTTCAACTTAAATGCAGCCCATGTCTATTAAACTCGATCTAAAGCAGAAATAAGATTTGGCATGTTCATGAATGCTTTTATGTATAATGCACACAACCACTTGCGTAAGTAATAGCTTGCCACTTCGCATATTCTTATAATCTTAGATTTCTTTAATCTTGTCTCGCTCTTGCCATAAACAAACAAATAAAGGAAAACTTTGTTTATGTAGCATAGAAGTGCACCATAAAGATGCACACCAAGAACTATATGCAACTTTTTTTAAAAGCTTTGATTCACTCAAAAAACTAAAGCCATCCATTATTCTATTAAATTGCTCGCGTACAAGTGAGAGAAAAATAGAGATAGAAAAAAAAGAAAAAAAAAAGAGAAAAGAAAACTCAATGATAGGAATACTCACTCCATAAACTTAGAATAAAAGTACTCTAAATGATGATTTACCTCTAAAAAATAAAAACTTAGCATAAAAACTCTATAATTTATAGGAGCCAAAACCTATAATGTAAATATCATTTAAAATAAAATCTAGTTCCTAATTTTTTTTAAAAAAATACTATTTTATAATGCAAAGATAAACATACATTCAATCATAATAATTCTAAGATAAATGAAAAAAAATATATATAATTCTCTAAAGATAATTTTCAAAATATAATGATAATCACAAAATGTTTAACAACCAACTATTTATCAGATTTATCTTATAAATCTAAAATAAAACAAACAACTCAAATCTGAATTTAACTATGGTAAATCGCGTATTTATAGCTAAAAACGATATATGATCGTGGTAAATAAAGAATACCTGATAAATGCATAGTAAATATTGTAATCTGATAAATGTTAGATTTACTACTGAGCAAATGTTCTGTTTACCATATAATTATTTAACTCTATATATCCATTATTCACTCAGTAAATCCTTCGTTTACTAGCTAAAAAAAATTATGTGAACTTGGCAAATAAAGGATTTAACTGTTAAATATAGGATTTACTTAATAAATTTATTACTTACCTATATTTACCTAGTAAATATTTCATTTAATTAGTATATTGAATATGTTTTATTGTTAGTTTTTATTTACTTCGTAAATCTTTTATTTTGTCAAGAAAATTCTTTTATTTAGGTATTTTAGTGACTCTTTTTTCTTTGTAAACCTGTTATTTAATTGTCTTAGTTAATCTAAGATAAGTAAATATCTTATAATTGATATATCATTTTTTGGCCAATATCCTATATTTAACTTTTTATTTACTTATCTTAGCTAATCTCTAATTTTCCTCAAAACTTCTCTAATTTATTCAATTAACTCATTTATTTACTTATAAATCTTTATTTATTTATTTATTTATTTATTTTGTATTTGTTCACTTAGTAAATATCCTCTTTTACCCTTTTCTTAATTTACCTAACATTTGTTATTTTTTATTTAGTAAATAAATTTGTTTTGAAAGCCAGTAAATAAACTAATTTATGAAATTAGAAAATTCATGATATCAAGTGTAGGCAGATTTAAAGAGCAGCTTTTACCATAATATACTTCATTAGATCTTTTTTTCCTTTTTGTGTTTATCAATATATATATATATATATATGTGTGTGTGTGTGTCTGTGAATGTGTCAAAATATTCTGTTGTAAAGAGTAAAGAGAATCAAATGGGTGGTGCCGTGGTGGGTAATATGTCAAAGAATTAGAGAAGGATGCTGTCCCTTAGATGAGTGAAGGTAGAGAACTTTTGGTGCATATTTGTAATATGTGATAGCAACATTAGCTTTTATGTCCTAAGACTGTGGCAGTGTAACAGAATATTTATTCCCATCCCTAGGTCCAGTCTTAATCTGTGGGACAACATCCTTAATTCACAAAAACGTTTGGTTGGAGGATTCAAACCATGTGATTTGAACCATTTTTGATTTACATGAATTTTTTGTGAGAGAAAATACTGTAGCGAACCATGAATCATGATTCGAATCAGGAAACGAATCCCTCTACCAAACATCCTATTAGAACTCCCATAGAATTATAAATAGGTTAAACTTTAATGGTATTTACTATGGTCTCAGAAATTAATGTACTACTACAGAAATTTCATCAATGTTGTTGATTTAAGAAGTTTACTTGTGCACTCATAATTTCTTTAAAGAATACCTTATAATTCGTTTCGCAGCTAGATCAAGTCTTGAAATTAAGTCGCTTATAGAAATTTTTACGGGCACATAAAAAATAATTAACCCTTATTTGCATTAGACATGGTACTATGAAAAATGTTAAATATGTATATAATGTATCGAAATTCGGATTTTCTTAAAAAAAAAAAGAAATAAAAATTCGTGTTTGCAATTTGTGGAAATAAAATAATTAATGACAAGAAAAAAATGCATGAAAGAACCATATACACATCTTAAATTTGTGTTGATCGCCATATATTCAATATATATTGTCAATTAAATAAGTCAAAATTCCATTACGTTTTCAAAATATTTTGCAGATAGATCGTAAATGTTAATCAGTAAACTTTTGTCAAATAATAATTAAAAAAAGACCGACAAATAGATCTAGATGTAATACGTACATATACATGTTCTCGTCTGCTTTATCATAGAAAAGAAACATTTAATACGTACAAGTTATTCCATATGAAAGCATTCATTGGAATATTTCGTTTCAGTACAATTTTCTTTATTCATTATATTACCAAAGAAAAAGAAAATCAACTGATTAATATTCGTTATATCAACTGATTAATTAAACTCTCCTTTTCCCTTTCCTAACACCGATTTCGATATATACCATAAGAAAAATCTGGATGTATATGATTGTATTTCATGTTCCAGCGCCTTAATCATTATGTAATAAACTAAACTCATGTTTAATGCATATACAATCAAATTAAAAGAAAACGGGGACAAATTAAGTACACTAATTACCAAACATTTAGAAATACATGAAAACCATATATATATATATATATATATATAGGATGAAAAGTTGGAGACCAACTTATAAAATCAGCAAAATACCAACTTGTGCTCCCTTTTTGCATTTTAGTTGCATTTGCTTTGATATTCACGTCAAAATCAAGCAGGGAGAATTATTTTTTTAGGGTACTAGAAAAAATATCATCGTTATTATATTTTAATAAAGTTTAAACTATTTCTTTGGTCAGCATTAATACATATTATCAGTGGAGATATGCAATCAAATACAAAGACTATCAAACAATATACAAAACTAACGAATTCAAATAAAAAACCTAAACGTTAAAAAATGACGTTTTTATATGTATACGGCAAATAATAGAACTTTCTCTTTTTTTACTCGAACAGAATAATTCTCTTTGATCTTATTGAAAATTAAAAAAAATTAAAAAAAAAAAAAGAAACAGGGCCTTTCTGGTACTCACATCCATGAATTTATTGTAAATCAGAAGACACGTACAGATATATATATATATATATACATATAATAAAGTCTAAGAACTTCGAAGATTCCCTTTTGGTGGACCCTATTGAAGGGTCCATCAGTGCATGTGATGTTGGCATATTGTGGGTAGCCCTCTGTTACAAAGGGCTTTACCTTATTGTCCCCTCCCCCCATTTTTTAAGCTGTAATGCACTAAATTTTCAGAGCCCTCATAATTTTATTTTATTTTATTTTATTTTTATTTTTATTTTTATTTTTTGCTTTAAAGTTCTGTAAAGTTGTTTGTATTGTAGATCTGGAATTTAAGTTCTCCTCGGTAAGAAGGACAGAACATACGTCCATTTCTTTTAATAATATAATAATTGATGTGCAAAGTGTATTGTCAATTTTTAACGAGAAAATCAAATACAGTATTTTTATTGCTTAAAATTGTACAACTACAAAAATATACTGAATAATTGCAGCATAAATGCTAAGTTCAGACGTTAAAAATTAATAGCAAATTAAGAACAACAAATTAACCAATACCTTCTTTTGGTTCAATGAATGATTTATCACAAGATTGGGTAAAAAAACAAAAAATAATAATAACCCAAAAAAGACTAAAAACAAAGGCTAATAAACCATTTCTCACACTTACACCACGATGAACCAAAAAAAAAAAATACAACACTAGTTCTCTTTCATTTTTTCTTTATTCTTTGGAGTCTAATTAACCCCCGCTCTCTCCCTCTATCCCGTACTTATTTATTTAGAAAAAAATTAATTAATTATAAAAATAAACATATAATCTCACTGACTATATGCTACAATTTTTTTTTTTTTTAGAAAAAAAAAAAGAACCACCCCAAACCCATGTATTCCATTTTTTTTTTGAATATCTTTGCCGTATAATTTTTTTTCCATGTCGTTTACAGCAGTACCTCAACTTCATGTTCTATGATCCGCCGGAAAATTATGACTTGGCCATTCTTCTCACTCAATTTCTTCGTCAATCATCATCATCTTCTTCTTCTTCATTATCAATCTTCTCACTCACTCAGCTGAAACATTACTCACAGAATTCGGCTTGTTGGCGACCAATTCGTAGTTATCTCCGCCTTCATCGTCCTCGTCCTCGTCCTCGTCGTCATCTTCCTCATCTTCCTCCTCGTTCCGGTCCATCGGCTGATCGCTCTCCGCCGACTCGTGCTGATTAGAACTCCCCGGCTGCTGCGGCGGAGGCGGCCACTGCTGCTCGGGCTGCACCATAAGCGGCACGACGTTGATCTCGGACTTCCCGAACTGATGAAGCTGATGCTGATGATGATGATGAGCAGTAGCCGTACTCATGATATTGTCGTTGGTGGTGGTAGTGGAACTGATGGTGGGGTCGAATTTCATGCTCTTCTCTCTGTACAAGGCGTCCAACTGGTGAAAGTAGGGACAAGTCTTGGAATCCTCAGGCCTTCTCTTGTTGCTCTCTTTCACTTTCTTGAAGTACTTGTTTATGTTCTCCCACTTTTCCTTGCACCTCTTCGCGCTCCGGTTGTAACCCACCCGCTTCATCGCCTCCGATATCTCCTCCCAAAGCGGCCCTTTCGGCCCATTGTCCTGGTACTTTGCGTCCAGATCCGTCCGCAGCTTTATCAGCGCGTGTACCTCCACCTTCGGCCACCGCGATGAACTCGCACCGCCCATCCCCGCCGTCATGGGCGTGGTCGTGGCCAACGCATTATTATTGTTGTTGTTGTTGTCCGGTTTCGGGACGTCGATGGTCGCTAATTGCGACATCGGTGCTGACACCGAAACCGGAGCAACTGGAGTAGGAGCAGGTATTAGTACTGCTGGTGCTGGTGCTGACGGCTGCAGTGTTTGAATCGATATTACTGGAGTAATAGAAGTAGTATTGTTTTGACCTGAACTCGGAGGAGGAGGAGGAGGAGCCGGAGTCGGAGTTGGCGTCGGGTTTGGTATCGAAATATTGGGAATATTCTGCTGATCGGAGATCTTCTGCAAGAATGCCATGACCGCAGCGTCTTTTGCGGCGGCCATGGACCGCTCCTGCGCGAGAATCTCGCGTTCCCGGTTGATCCTCGTCATCTCTTGCATTCTCCATGCCTCTTCCCTCACCATTCTGTCGTGTTCTCTCTTCTCAATGGCTTCCAAGAACCTTTTCTGTAATTCCTCCTGCCGATGGATCACTTCTTTCATTAATCTCTCGAAGAAGTCCTTCCACTTCCTCTTCCTCTTCCTCCTCCCGCCTCCTTCCTCGAGCTCTTCATCCGAGGATGTCGACGATGACGTGGAGTACTCCGACATGAGATCAGCCGAGATCCTGTGGAATGGCGGCGGCGGTGTCGGGGTCGGAGCGGTGCCTTGCACTGGTGGTGGAGTTGGGAAATTGATGGTAGGGTTTGTTGGTGCAGCTTGGAAAGGAGGTGATGGGAATGTGAGGTTCATTGTGCCTTGAGAAGATATATTAGTAGCAGTCGTATTACTTACTGATGGAACAGTACTGTTGTGTAATGGCGAAATACTAACGGACATTGCCGGGGTCGCTGTTGCTATCGTCGTTGTCGTCGCCGCCTGCATTGCAGGTGCTTGAGCTTTCGGCTGCGTCGTTGTGGCAGCTGCGGCCGCGGGCTGCGGCGGCGGCGGCGGCGGCGGTAATGAGTATGGCGAGGGTTGATTCTCGAGAGCTTGCAATTGGTCGAAAAACCGATAGGTTTTGCCGTCGGCTTTGCCGGACCGGCCTTCTTTAGTTCGCTTGTGGTACTTGTACACGTTCTCGAATTTCTCTTTACATTTCTTGGCGCTTCGATGATAACCAAGCTCCGCTAGCTTCCTGTTTTTTTAAGGAATAATAAAGATAAAAGGAAAAGGAAAAGAGAATATGTGTGTGAAAAGAAAAACAAAGGATAGAAAGAAAGATATATTAAATGAATGATAGAAGAATGGAGGAGTTAGAGTTGTAGTTAAATGCTGTTTTTCGACCCTCCCATGAATTCAGCAACAAAACAAATTGTGTGTGCAAACATTTGCGCATAAAATAAGCTTAAATTATGGTAACGAAAACAAGGAATTGGTTGAGAAGATATTCTCTTTTATTTATTTATTTATTTTTGTTCGTTTTGGGATGGAATTGGTAGGAAGGAGAGAAACAAAAGGGACTGATAAGGAAGTACACAATGGATGTGTAATTATTTACACAGTTTTTAACAGACAATGAATTGATGAAGAAAGTAACCTCTCATGAAAAAATTATAGAACAAAGCCCAACTTGAGAAGAATTTATTCTCCTCCTTATTTTCTTTTTTTTTTTTTTGTATTTTTTTTTATCTTCCCTACTTTTCTATAATTTGAAAACTGAATGAGAGAGTTCTGAACAAGATGGGAGAGAGGGAAAAAGAGAAAACAAAATTCATTTTGGTAGATAGAACTTATTCATCAACCCATTATTCTCTCTGGGAATAATAGAGAAGGACACACAAAAAAAAAAAAAGTAAAAAGAAAAAATAAAGTAAATTCTGGAAATTAAAACGACCTCCCAAATTACACGCACACCATATCACCTACCTAGCATATACACTTCACTCAATTTTCTTTCTTTCTTTCTTTCTTTCTGATGATGATGATCAAATCACTCATTTCAAGTAATTTATAAGCAGCTTTAAAAAAAAAAAAAGAAGAAAAGAAAAGAAAGAAAGAACAGAAAAACACTCACAAGATTTGGAGAACAAAATTTGAAAGCTAGAAATTAAACCCAAAAGAAGAAAGAATAATTCAGTTCATAGATCTCAACTCCATGAACCAAAAGAAAACTAGCTCAATTTTCAGATTTAATCCCATATCCCCACCAAAACATCGTATGTACACATATATACTTTTTCTTGAATCCACTTAAACATATACGTGTGTGTGTGTGTGTGTATATATATATATGTGTGTATGTATGTATATACACATATTCACAAAAATATGTATCTACATATATATATTCTCACCTGGAAACTTCTTCCCACAATGGACCTTTAACACTTGCATCTCGGAAAGCTACATCCATATCTGAGCGTATCTTCAAAAGCGATATAGTTTCCTGCCGAGGCCACCTGTTTCCGCCGAAACTCCGGTCGCCTAATTCTTCACCTCTTATTCTCTCATCTTCGCCGCCGCCACCGCTGCCGCCGCCGTCATGGGCAGTCTCCGTAGGCGGTGCTTCTGCCGCTGCGGCCGAAGCATCGCCGGAGGAGCTGCCCAAAGCTGTACTGCTCGAGTCCCCCAGCATATAGGCCAGACAGACTCTTTGTTTGTAATAATTCCAATCCTTTTTCCTTAATTTCTTGGTGCTTTCCTTCTTCTTCTTCGCCCGGTTCTTCTTGTTGACGTCCTTCTTTGAATTACTTTCCGCTCGCAAAGCCAAAGAAATGAAAAATAAATAAATAAATAAAATTAAAAGTAATAAATCATCATCATCATCATCCCGAAAAGGATGGTGAATTCTCTAAGGGTTTTATGCAGATGGGGTATATGGTGAATTTATTAATTTCTTTCGGTGGGGGAGGGATCTGCTTGTCAATCTCAAGAAATGTATTTATATTTTTTTTATTTTGGTTTTATTTATTTATTTATTTACTTTTTAGCTGCGGAATCTTTGAGAGGAAAAAAAAAAGAAAAAAAAAATTTTTTTAAAAAGAAAATTAAAAAAAAAAAGAGCACCATGGAGGTCTTCACTTGGGTTTGTTTCTCTCAGTAATAATAAAAGTGGCACAGAAAGATGTAGAAAAGGAATTAAATAAACACATTACAACTCTACAAGCAAATATATTTATATATATATATATATATATTATAATTTCTTTTTTTTTTCTTTTTTGTCTCGGACATTTTTGAACAGCTGCACGTAGAGACGATAATGATAATAAGTTGGTTTTTGTCTGTCCAGCTAAATTTAGTTAAAAGCCGGCCCATGTAGGTCAGCTTTTTTATTTTTCCATTTTATCTTTTATTTTTATTTTTTGGGTGAAGGTAAATAAAGAAAAAAAAAAAACTAGGCTTTGCACTTTTTTTTTTTTTTGGGTGTGTGTTAGGGTTAAGGGAAGGTGGTATTTTGGATTTCATTGGCGGTTGGTCATATTGAAAGTGGAATGACTATAACAACCCTAACATGCTTGCCATTGACCCTTTTTAATCATTGAAGCTAATCTGCTAGATATTTTTATTGAAAATCTACTAAGAGCGTCTCTCTAAGAAAACTCATTGGGTGCGTTTGAAACTCATTTTAAAATAATTTTATTTTTTGTATGAAAATAAAAATATTTTCAATCTCATATAGAAATTATTTTTAAAAATACATTTCGTAGTTTTATAAAGAGATTGTTTTTAGTGTAAAAAAAATCCATTAATGTCTCTTTTTATCTCTCTCTGTTCGAGAAAGGAGAAAACGAAAACAAAAAATAAAAAACGACTAAAAGTCATTTTTTATTTCTCTCTCATTTTACACTAAACTAAAAAATCGTTTTCATTTCCGTCTTTTGTCTTTATTGCGCCAAACGCCGTTTTGAAAACGTTTTCATTTTTCTTTCTCAAAAAACGTGAAAAACAAAAAACATGATCAATTCCAAACACGGTCTTTATTTTTTAGCTAAATTCTAGTTAAAATAACTAAAAAGTTATTTTAGCTAATAACTTTTTAGTAAGTCACTCTAATCATATTTTCTATTTTAACTAAACATATATTATTTTAATATTTATTTAATTTAAATAAAAATTTAAAAAATAACATTTACATTTATTGGATATGAAATAATAAAATAATAAAAAATTAAACAACTAGTCACTTCTTGTTAACTATATATTCAGACTAATGTGAAATGAATTCTCTAAAATAGTTAATGATTAGAGTGGAAAAAAGTTAAATTCTAAATAAATCGTTAGCTATTTTAACTTAAAACGTGAAATAATTAATATGATTGGAGTTGTTCTAATTAACGAGCTAATTTTGTATGCGTTAAATCAAATAATTTTTATAAACACCGTATCATATTTTTATAATACCCGGAGTGCCCTTTTTCCTACTTTTGAACGGGAACTGATTTTTTTATAAAAATGAATAAATAAAAACGAATAAATAAATAAGTAAGAAGCTTCAATTTTCAACTTGATGGGTGGGACTGTAGTACTCTACAAGTGGTGTAATGTAAAGGGCCTACTGTGATTGTGACAATTGTATAGTTTGACAAATTTTCTTTATCATAATTATAAAAAGAAAATTCCATTCCCTCCCAAAAAATAAACAATTATCTTGGATATTTGGGAAATAATAATATTAACAATAATAAGACAATTTTTAGTGGGTTCCACTGTTGAATTAAACTTAGTTAGTCGGTCATGTTATTACGCCAAGCCATTTATGAATTGGAGTAAATGGTGATGGATTCAGTTGGGTTATCGACCCACCGTAATAAATGATGTGGAAATTTGGACGGCTGTGATCTCACGATCATTCCGGATGAAAAATTTATTAGGAAATTTTTGGGACCATTTTAGCCCATCTTAGAATTTTAATTTATTACGGTATTTCCCTAATTCTGTCAAGATCAAATCTTGCAAGCCATACACACAATTTTGCATACTCAACGTTACGTTCCTTTTTCAATTTATCGGCATTTATCTTTAGGCAGTTGCTTCTGAAAGTGACTTCCTTTTTTTTGTGATAAGATTTGTTGGTATATAATTTCCTTTTCGAAAAAATTGATGAACTTAATCATATAGCATATGAGTTTAGATTTTTATCATTTATTCTCAATTAATACTTTTTTAACTAATACAGTTATTTAACTAAAAATAATATTAATTAAGAATAAAATGTAAAAATTCAGATTCATACACTCTAAGGAGTATTTGTCTCATTTCTTCTTTCTTTTATTTAAAAAAAAAAAAAAAAACTCTTTTAGGACTAGTTTAGAATTATATGGTAGTGAAATAGTACTTTAGTTGTCTAATAGCTATTGTTTGCTTTAAAATTTGGACTACTACTTTATTTTTTTCCCCCTTTTACTATAGTAATCTATACATTTATATTTAAAATCTAATGAAATTTAACATCTTGGGCAAGTTGATTTTGTAAAAACTATATAATTTTTTGTGGTACTTTGGAAGCAGAAATTTGAAGCTTTCTGGTAATAAAAATGGGGAAAAGAAAAAATAGAGGAGATAATACATCATTAATTTAGTGAAGAAATTTGAGAATGATAAGGAAAAATAAATAAATAAAGATGGGAAAGAGAAAAGTGTTTGTGATGAAAATTTACTCCTTTGAACTTGTGGTTCTTAATGCTGTTGAGTTGCATGTGGTGGACTTTTTTATCAATAAATGTTGGTATATGTCAACCCAAATGAATCTCACGGCTAGTAAATTTGAGGAATTCAAAAAGGAAAAAAAAAAAAAGGGTACTAAATACTATTCCTTTAATGTATCTATTAACTAACTTGTACGTACGAAATAATTAATGTCTCCTTATGATTACACTTCAGATGATTTCTCATCTCAAAATTCTTGATTTTTTTTTCTTCAAAGAGAAATACATAACTTTATAATTGGATTTTTTTCCCTCTCTGCTGATACCAGTATTATATTTGAATTTCTGGTATTTGTATTCAATAGAAATTCCAAAGGAATAGTGCTTAGTTAAAAAGAATGGGAAATTTTTACTTTTTTTTTTTTTAAGAGTCTTTTTACAATTTGATTTTGCAATCAATTAGTAACTCAATTATTGAGCCTCAAAACATGTGGATTGCCCAACACACATAATGCAAGGAAGTGGGACCCACCCCAATCAATAAGCCATTAAATGCACAAATCATCAGAGATCAACTTTTGTGTACAAAGTATACTTATCATGAGGCACATGTACACAAAAAATTTTAAAAAAATAACAAAAGAAACATTAAAATTAGGAATGGCAATTCGTGTCACGTGTCGTATTTTGATTTTTTTTTTTAATTTGCAGTCAACCCGAACACGACCCGTGACACGAAATTTTTTAAAAACCGCAACACAAACACGACATGATCACTTTACGAGTTGACACGACGCGACTCGAAAATGACCCGTGACACGAAATTGACCCGTGAATCTGAAATTGACATAAAAATTGTATACTTTTATTTAGTTTTTTACATATTAGAAATAACTCAAAATTCATAACACACTAAATTACAATAACGTCCATTGAAATTAAGCAAATAATAGTATAAGATTTTGAGTATAACTATTATGATATCACAAGTTCATAATAAAATTTAAAATATGAATTGAAAATATATGTATTTTTTAGTTTTTTACGAGTTTCGTGTCGTGTTCGAGTTAGGCGGGTTCAACCCGAAATTGACCCGTGTTTTTCGTGTCAATTTCAGGTCGACTCGATTCTGACCCAAATATCTTTTTTCTCAACCCTAACCCGTAAAATTTGTGTCATTTTCGAGTCGTATTGTCGTGCCGTGACCCATATTACCGGCCCTAATTAGAATCATGGACAAGGGTATTTTGGTCAACTCGTAAAACGTAAGTAACTTGTAAAAGCAAGGGTAAGAAGGGCATTTTGGGTAAACAGAAGGACGGAAAAAAAAAAAACGGGAGAAACACGAGAAGGAAGTGGTGGAGTAGATAGGAAGGCAAAGGTTAGAAAGAAAAGAAAAAAAAAAAAAAAAAAAAAAGACGTACCGTTTGTTTTGGACAAGGGGGAATGTTACGTAATTGACAACTACAAGTTTTTTTTGTTGTTCGAATAAAGAAATTTTAACTACAAGATTTTACTTGCCTTTTTCCTTCTTTTATGTTCTCATTACCCGGCTTTAATTTTTCGTGAAACTTCAGAATGTGGACGTTTAGTTCATAATACCTATCTTCAAGCTATTCTATTCCTTATTCATATAATCAAATAATAAAAATTATTTGTTCAGCAAGAAGAAATACCAAAAATTTATTTTTCCATTCAAGCTAATGGAACAATATCAATTTAAAGCGCTTGCCCTAGTCAAGCTCTTTGTGACAAACAAATCTGATACTAGAGGTGTTCATAAAATTTATCAATCCGATCAAGTCGTTCAGTATAAGATTGAGAGATGACTTTAGAATGATAACTGAGTGTGAAAATCTCAATTTGAAAGTTTTATATTAGTTGCAGATTGAGCATTTCTCAATCTTTGAAATCTGTAAATCCGAGTTATTTTATATTATGATATGTTTATTTAGGTGGTAAGAAATTGGAGTTTGTTCAACTATTTTATGTTAAGATATGTTTCATTTAGATTGTGGATGTTGAATTACTTTGCACTTTAAACTAATGTTGATGATGCTTCATTTTGAATTTTGTTTAAGCTAGTTTTTCATAATTGATGGGTTGTAATAAATTGGATTTTGAGTTTTGTTCCGTTAATTTTCTACTTTAAATATTCATATATATCCATAATTTGTCACAAGATTAAAAGGGAAGCAATCTTATTAACAAGAGAGATGAAAAGGGGGGAAAGGGGAATGATAATAGCATTCTCTCTGTCTTTTTTTTTAATTATTATTTCGAAATAATATAGAATTCTCTCTTTTTACTTTTTACTATTATTACTAATATTATTATCA